CGCCCTGAAGTGATTTAATGATTTTTCAGGGCACTTTAAATGTGCTAGTGATTTATGTCATGAATTATTGAGTTAAATTTATCAATAGGGATTGTAATTCACTAGATGACTTTGGTAGGAATTGCACAGTGCGATGATCATTAGTTACCTCTGTAATGGCAACCGAAGGAATGCAGGTCATCAGTTGGCCAAGATCACCAAAAGGGTCGCGATCAATCAGTCGACAGTGACCGCCGCTTATATGGCCAGGTAAACCAAAATGATTGACGGCTGCTTCTTACGTCCCAGCGCGATATTGGCTTTTGAATTATTAAATAAAAACGTAAATACTAACGAGTTAGGGTTGCGTAGTACATATGTATAAATTGTATACGTATTTGTTGAAAATGATCCAGAAAAATTACCAGCATCAATTCCGGACACAAATTTGGAATGATTAGTTGTTCCTCTAATGCTCAGGCTGATTTATGTCTTTACTTATTCCTAATGCTATTCCTACCTGGAATGTGGTAAGAATAGCATTAAGAACCTACTTCTGACGTCAGCCACTATATATGCCTTTTTTCGTGCAAAGCTTTCTCTAAAAGCTACAAAATTTAATGATTCCAATTCGCCATTTTACTTTATATCTAACAATATAAGGAATTTGGCGTAAAACATTGCTGATGTTGAAAAACTTAAATGATTGAACGAATTTTCTTCTACGTTTCTATAAATACAAATGACAAAGTGCCAAATTTATTGGTCTAAGTTATTTAGAAGGATTTTAAGGTAATTGAAATTTCTAGTTCAAAAGCAACACTGTGGTCGGCCCACTGGATTTTCAGCTGCCGCCATTTGCCGCCACACTAGACGCCAATGAGCAGAAACAATTAACGGGGTGACTGAAGCAGTGAGTGGGATGACTGAACTATAGTAAGCAGGGTGACTGAACCAGTGAGCTGGGTGATTGAAACAATTAGCGAAGGAATTAGTATAAAACAATATAGTACATAAATCGTTGTACCGGTGTCAGATTAGGTCATGTTTGGACCATCACCGATTCAATACATCAAGAAATTTTCACAGCTAGCTATGTGGATTTTGTTCGCGAAACTGGCTACTCCAATCTTTTTGATCTTACCTCCCAACCACTCTGCGCAGATGAAGAAGGTTTGACAATTAACCTTAAGATCTCACCCAATAAATTAACACGTACCCAGAGTTCGTTGAGAGACACTAATCCGTGGCGATGCTGCAAGCACCACCCTCGGCTACCTAGCGCCGTCGATCAGTGACACCGAATAAAACAAATAAAAAACTTTAAAAAACCACGTTTTCTTGACGGACAAAAAAGAAAAACATTTACTCTTACTTAACATTTAAGTTATGTAAAATGTTATGTAATGATATGTAAGAGTAAATGTTTTTCTTTTTCGTCCGTTAAGAAAACGTGTTTTTTTTTAAGTTTTTTTATTTGTTTTATTTCATTATTTTTAGTTTTGTAGAAACCAGAAAAACGTGTTTTTAAAATATTTTTTTATATTTATTTATTTTCTACTTTTTAGTTAGCAATTTTAGCAATTGAAATCAATTTCCAGGGTTGGCAAGTGTGGATGTTCGAGAAAAAACTCAATTCCAAACCGTGAATTTTTCGTGTTTTTTTATTTTATTTTTTTTTCTAAAAAAATTTAATTATTATTTTTGCTGATCAAATCTTGAATTGTTAGGCAGCATAAGCATGCATTACAAAATTTCAAGTTTATAGGATGTTCAGAAAAGCTCTAAATTAAGGTCTGAATTTTTGATGACAGACGGACAGACAGACAGACACGAAACGAAGTTAAGAAAAACGTGGTAAAAAAGTTGTTGGGGCTCTCAGAACACCCAACTAGCCTACAGGATCGTATAGGTTCTGGATATTAACGAGTACTCATTAAAACAGTTTATTACACTTTCAATGAACACAATAAATAATATATAATAACTTCGGCACATTAACACTTTAACACTTCATCTTGGATGCATGGCTTTCGAGACTAACTCTTGACTCTGAGATTTGAGATTTGAGGTTTGAGGTTTGAGGTTTGAGGTTTGAGGCTTTCCTACAAAAGAAACAAATAAAACAGATAAATAATAGTTACCTACACATTAAAATATTCATACATATATAACCTAAGTATTTACACAATTTGTTCACATCAATCTATTCACGTATATATTTACATGTCCACATCCTAACGCAGCACATACCTCCGCTCCGGCTTTCCACAACAGAATAATCTTATCACCTTCTCCTTCCGCACTTATAGCCTTCCGTAAACTCTAAACTAAAATGACAAATTCAAAATAATGAACCATTTTGGAACAAAAATTATCGCCTCGCATAACATTAAAATACCCAACTATTTCTATCCTTTACAAAGTAATGATCGAGCTTCTCAAGGCTCGAACCCACGGTTAGTGCCTCTCATCTCGGTGCCAATATTACTGCACTACCTTGGCAATATTTTATGCTATCTTATTAAAGAAATAAGTTGGTACACGTTAATGTTTGGAAATCAGAGGATTCTCTTTCAATTGTTGTTTGTACCTTAGACGGGATAGACTACGAGTTGTTACGACAGCTTTACCAGTATTTTGTAATGCCAATAATGATCTTTATGCTGTGGAATGAAATTACATGTAAAAAATTTTTGATTAGATTTTGTCATGTATCGAAATTGGCACACAATTCGGTAGAAAATAAGCGTTGCTCCACATAAATTTTTATTGCTTTCTTCCTCAGTCAATCAGGTGAGCGATAGAGATACACATGGCCAGTTGCAGGCCGTCTCGAAGGCCACAAAACCGTACTATGTTTGAGTTTACTGGCAGCCACTGCTACTATCAACTGAAGTAGCCTGCACCCAAACATTCAAGGCCATTAGCACGATAATCACTAGCGACCGGTAATGACCACTGGGGCCATACTTTCAAAACTCGCTAAGTGATCATAAGTACTTTACTCTATTTTCTTGTCTCTGATTGGTGGATTTTGCTTGAAAGACCGTCTATGATTGGCTGATGAACTTACGATCTCTTAACTTTTTGAAAGTATAGGTCCAGGTATAGTGGCCACCACTGCTGGCCTCATGGTAAGACTTCAACGATATTTGGAGTCCCACTGGTATAATAAAAATTTCTTTCCAAAATTAGCATAATAGATAATATTAAAGATTTTACAATTAAATAAACATTCACCAAATATTAATTATTGTCGTTGTGTGAACAGTAAGCACACAATATCATAGCGCTAACGAAAAATCGCTTAAAATAATAACAGTTATTAATGCTATTGTGTTGCAATATCGCATTATTTTAATATGTTTAACCATGTGTGTTTAACCAGCATTGTGAAAATTTTAAGTATAATGTATTTATACACGCTACATTTGCATATTATGTATCGTATATAGCAATTATTATGACTTACATAATAAACATAGCATTACCAACTGTGTTGCCGCGTTGTTGTCTCATAGCATAACAAATAGGGAGTGCATAAACATTAGTGATGATATTAGCATTAGTGATGATATCAGTGATGATATAACCATGATTGATGATATGTGTCATGTGTACTGCCATGTGTACTGCCATGTGTGCTGTCACGTGTACTGTCATGTGTACTGTCATGTGTACTGTCATGTGTACTGTCATGTGTACTGTCATGTGTACTGTCACGTGTACTGTCATGTGTACTGTCATGTGTACTGTCACGTGTAATGTCACGTGTACTGTCATGAGGACTCTTGATATTACCAGGGCAATTTAACCTGCCTAAGTTAACCTCAGAGGACCAGGTTAATTAATATTGAGTATCCCCAATTAACCTGAAGGCTAACGGATTTATTGTTGATCAGAAGGAGGCGCTGACGGAGTTGGGTGTTGGTGGGGAAGAAGAGGAGATGGTGGGGGGGCGTCACGCCCTTTGTCCCGAGGGCAGCCCCCACGAGCTGCTGACGGAGGCGCGACTGGAGGACCTACAGCGCGTGTGGCAGCTTAACTCCCTGGCCGTGGTCTTCCCCAAGATACGCCCCATCCTGGCCCCAGCTGCGCCCCACAAAGCCCCATGTACCCCTACGTCCCTCCCTGCAGACTGTCCCCTCTGCAGCGCCCCTGCAGGAGATCTGTTCGGCCGAGGCTGACACGCGCGCCCCTCCCGCTGCTGCAGGAGCGACAAGACCTCCTACAGGAGAGGCTGGCCACGCTCACCAGAGAGGTGAGTCATGGTGACTCACTATCAGGTGAGTCATGGTGACTCACTATCAGGTGAGTCATAGTGACTCACTGTCAGGTGAGTCAAGGTGACTCACTATCAGGTGAGTCAAGGTGACTCAATATTGTCGTGTTGGTGAGTGTGATAGTGAGCTACATCACAATTTCTAGCGCCGTGTATTAAGCATTAGTATCTGAGGTATCTTTATTATTATTTTTATTAATTTTTTACAACACCTCTCTTTAACTTCACTTCTTGTTTGTTTTTTTGTCTGCTACAAATCTTATAAATCGATATTTAACACACTTCTACTTCTCCAATCAATCTGAAATTTTGCATACTTGCGTAAAGTCGGAGACAATGCATGTATCAATTGACACAATAAATAATTGATTTTAATAATTGATTTTAAAATGTTGATTTTTTAACTCTAAAAATAAAATTAGAAAACTAATTTTTAATATTTCATAATAAAATTAGAAATTCATTCTACATGTGTAACACCAGAGACTCTGGATGCTTGAGAAGTGTTGTCTTTAAAAAGTAATTTTTAAACGCATATTAATAATAATGGTTTTATTGAATGTTTACGTTTTACTAATCAATATGTATAGTTATTGTTATATATCCTGTACATATATTAATTAATATTATGTCTTAATAGTTAATATTTATAGTTATTATTATATATCCTGTACATATAATAACTAATATTATGTTTTAATAATTAATAGTTATATATTAACTAATATTATTTTTCTCAGACGCTTTCGCGCGAGTCGCCGCCTTCGTCAGGGACCTGCCTGCGCCTGCTGGAGCTGCTGACGAGGGTGTCCGTCCACTGCAGGGACGGCGGGGACGGGTGGGTGCTGCTGACGAGGGTGTCCGTCCACTGCAGGGACGGCGGGGACGGGTGGGTGCTGCTGACGAGGGTGTCCGTCCACTGCAGGGACGGCGGGGACGGGTGGGTGCTGCTGACGAGGGTGTCCGTCCACTGCAGGGACGGCGGGGACGGGTGGGTGCTGCTGACGAGGGTGTCCGTCCACTGCAGGGACGGCGGGGACGGGTGGGTGCTGCTGACGAGGGTGTCCGTCCACTGCAGGGACGGCGGGGACGGGTGGGTGCTGCTGACGAGGGTGTCCGTCCACTGCAGGGACGGCGGGGACGGGTGGGTGCTGCTGACGAGGGTGTCCGTCCACTGCAGGGACGGCGGGGACGGGTGGGTGCTGCTGACGAGGGTGTCCGTCCACTGCAGGGACGGCGGGGACGGGTGGGTGCTGCTGACGAGGGTGTCCGTCCACTGCAGGGACGGCGGGGACGGGTGGGTGCTGCTGACGAGGGTGTCCGTCCACTGCAGGGACGGCGGGGACGGGTGGGTGCTGCTGACGAGGGTGTCCGTCCACTGCAGGGACGGCGGGGACGGGTGGGTGCTGCTGACGAGGGTGTCCGTCCACTGCAGGGACGGCGGGGACGGGTGGGTGCTGCTGACGAGGGTGTCCGTCCACTGCAGGGACGGCGGGGACGGGTGGGTGCTGCTGACGAGGGTGTCCGTCCACTGCAGGGACGGCGGGGACGGGTGGGTGCTGCTGACGAGGGTGTCCGTCCACTGCAGGGACGGCGGGGACGGGTGGGTGCTGCTGACGAGGGTGTCCGTCCACTNTGTCATGCTGCTCACACCTGTCATGCTGCTCACACCTGTCATGCTGCTCACACCTGTCATGCTGCTCACACCTCTCATGCTGGGCAGGCAGCTGCGGCAGGTCTACCGGCTGGTCTGTCCAGCTGTCCAGGAGCTGGTCACCACCTGCAGCTGGACGCTGGCCACCGACGCCCTGCGGCGTCTCACTGCGCTGTACCAGCTGCAGCTGGACGACGGTGGCGCCCTTGGGGGCAGTGGCGCCCTTGGGGGCAGTGGCGCCCCTGGGGCGACGGTGTCAGCGCTGGCGACGGGTCTCAGTCCCGCGCTCCTGACGACGCTGCTGACGCTGGCGGCTGACAGACTCACCGCGGCCTGTAAACCTGACGCCGACGTCAGCCTTCCTCTCACCCAACGTGGGTCATCATACTGTGATGTCATTTATAATTTTTTTTAATTGTAACATTTTTCTCCAAGTCGACTTCCTTGATATGTACACTGAAATCTTCAGTTTCACTTTATTTCAGTTTTACTTTATTTCAGTTTTATTTTATTTCAGTTTTACTTTATCTTTATTCCAGTTTTATTCATGATATTTTATTAGTTGATAACGTCCCTCCCTTGTTCCCAGTATTTAAGTTCTACTTTATTTCAGTTTATTTTATTTCAATTTTATTTATATTTTATTAGTTAATAACGTGCCTCCCATGTTCGCAGGTCGGGGGGCGGACAGGACGATGGACGGAGGACGGTGGCGGCAGGACTCGTCGTCCTCGTCGGAGGAGGACGAGGACGTGGCGCCTGACTTGCCTGCTGGGGGCGCCCCTGACGCCGCCGGCCCGAGGACCGGTGGGGCACGGATACTTATTTTTTAAACCTATTTAACTATAAAAACTTATTAATATATTTAACTATAAAAATCTTCATTGTATCTATTGCATTGTGCTTCTTTGGTACAATGCTCAGATGTCTCTATTATCTTTTTTATATATAACTACTATATTGTTTTTTTGGGATATTTGTATTTTTGTTTTAGTTTGGTCACTGTAATTTTCTTCCATGTTTTTTTCTCTCTTGCATTGTCAATGCTGTGCATTTTCCAATTTTTTTTCTCATGTATTGTTACTGATACTATTCATTTTCCATATTTTTTTTTTCTTGTATTGTTACTGCTATTCATTTTCCATATTTTTTTCTCTTGTATTGGTACTGCCAATAAAATTTTCGCTGTATTATTTCTACTCATGTATTAGACCCTGTATAGACCCTGTATTAATTCAAACAACTGTGTGAGCAGAGTGGCGTTTTCGGTGCTCAGTGCTGCCGGCGTCCAGTGCTGCACAAGCGTGCTGTGGTGCTGCTGTGGCCCTCATCACAGCATACTACTCGTTCCTAGTGATGACATCATACCGTGATGACATACTGTGATGACATCATACCGTGATGACATATAGAGCAGATTTCCTTATGCTTTATGTATTAGTTCCGTTCCTCATCGGCTCAATATGTTTACCGTCCATAGTTAATTAATGGCAAAGCAAAATATCGAAAAGGTAACATTTTCCTACATGTCGACTTAATTGAAACTCACACTGAAATCTTCGGTTTTTATTTTATTTAAGTTTTACTTTATTTCATTATTTCAGTTTTACTCTATTTCAGTTTTACTCTATTTCAGTTTTACTCTATTTCACTTTTACTTTATTTCAGTTTCACCTTATTTCACTTTTATTTATAATATTTTATTAGTTGATAACGTGCCTCCCTTGTTCGCAGGTCGGGGGGCGGACAGGACGATGGACGGAGGACGGTTCGCAGGTCGGGGGGCGGACAGGACGATGGACGGAGGACGGTTCGCAGGTCGGGGGGCGGACAGGACGATGGACGGAGGACGGTGGCGGCAGGACTCGTCGTCCTCGTCGGAGGACGACGAGGACGTGGCGCCTGACTTGCCTGCTGGGGGCGCCCCTGACGCCGCCGGCCCGAGGACCGGTGGGGCACGGATACTTATTTTTTAAACTATTTAACTATAAAAACTTTCATTGTATCTATTGTATTGTGGTTCTTTGGAACAATGTTCCGATTACATTATTACATTATTTTATATACATATTTGTTGTTTTTGGGTATTTGTATTTTTTGTTTAAATTGGGTTACTGCTTTTTTCCATATTTCATATCTCTTGCATTGTTACTGCTATTCATTTTCCATACTATTTTCTCTTGTATTATTGCTGCTATGGTTTTCGCTGTATTATTTCTACTCATGTATTAGACCCTGTATTATAATTACCCTGTATTAATTCAAACAATTGTGTGAGCAGAATGGCGTTTTCGGTGCTCAGTGCTGCCGGCGTCCAGTGCTGCACAAGCGTGCTGTGGTGCTGCTGTGGCCCTCATCACAGCATACTACTCGTTCCTGCTGCAGCACGAGCATGTGCTGCTGTCAGCTGCTGAGGTGCTGTCAGCTGCTGACAGTGCTGACAGCACGATGTGCTGTGCTGCCCTTGTAGACGACACACACGTACGTCTCACGGGGCTCCTGACGAAGCTGAAGAAGGGCGTGGCTGACTTCAAGAGACAGCATTTCACTGTCAGCAACCCTGACGTCTGCACCATACCTCTGCACTGCACCATCATCACCATGGTACGTCTTCACCATACCTCTGCACTGCACCATCATCACCATGGTACGTGTGCACCATACCTCTGCACTGCACCATCATCACCATGGTACGTCTGCACCATACCCCTGCACTGCACCATACCTCTGCACTGCACCATACCCCTGCACTGCACCATCATCACCATGGTACGTCTGCACCATACCTCTGCACTGCACCATCATCACCATGGTACGTCTGCACCATACCTCTGCACTGCACCATCATCACCATGGTACGTCTGCACAATACTTCTTCATAATATGGTGTATCACATTTTCAATCATTATATGATTTATATAATTTTTTCTATAGCTCCATATGAAATTATGCACCATCAGTCATCCGATTTACCCACATGTAAACTAACGGCTAAGCAGCAGGCTTAACTTATTGTTTATAACCGTATTGAGATCGAAAAAGTTCCTATTTAATGTTGGATAAAGATCTATCTTTCACTTTTAAATCTACAGCAAATGATTTATGTTTGATGCCCAGCAAATTAATCGCCAGGCACAAATACATCAGTGAACCGGCTTTAGTCTTAAACGGGACATAATATAAATGTAAAAATTTTATTTTATCAGACCTATCGTCACATAAAAAAACTTCTAGTTTATGTACATTACGTAATTCGGCAGGTGCTGCAATCTTCGAAAAATAGGGAAAAACTATCGGACATGCTTTTCAGTAGTCAGAAATAATACTGACGTGAAATAGAACCATTTCGCCGTGATTTTTTTTAGAGTTAACGTGAATTTTGTTGGGTCAAATTTTGGTCACTAAAACGCCGGTCCAACTTTTTTTCATAGTTTCTTTTATCGAAAAGTGTATTACTTTTTGTGGCGTTATTAATCTCGTAGCGTTCTTACTCGCGTTAAATGAATCGTTCTTGGTCTTAGTTGAAATTTATTCGCGTTCAATGAAATGTTATTGGTCTTTGTTGGATTTTACTCGCGTTCAATGAATCGTTATATTGGTCTTTGTAGGATTTTACTCGCGTTTACTGAAACGTTCTTGGTCTTTGTTGGATTTTACTCGCGTTCAATGAAACGTTCTTGGTCTTTGTTGGATTTTACTCGCGTTCAATGAAACGTTCTTGGTCTTTGTTGGATTTTACTCGCGTTCAATGAATCGTTATTGCCTTTGTTGGATTTTACTCGCGTTCAATGGATTGTTCTTGGTCGTTATTTACTCTCGATACATCGCGAGTTTTTCCATATGCAATTTTCGAATACTTTTTCTGTATGTATTTTATGATAGTCAATGTTAACAAATGCGTCATTCTAATTAAAATGAAGATATTTTATATATATAAACGGAGCAACATTTATCCGAATGAGAACTTTGATTGATATCAGGGTGTGAAAAAAAGACGATTGAAAAATTTATTATTTTTATTCGAATTTCTTTACAAACGGAAAGGCAATTGAGGCGTAGTACGTGAGAGTCGCTGAGCATCAGTGGCTGTTGGATCGGCCAAAAAAGTACAGCGACTAACATCCAGAATCAGAAAGGCTTTAAACTCAGCGTGAATGTTGATGAAACGGACATTTCTATTATTTCTTCATCAAATCATTGTTCATCGATGGAAAAATCATTTAATGTTCACCTATATAGCGTAATTTGAGCCCGGATTTTCTTCAGGTCCAGCTTGGGTTCCTCGTCTAGGTATTGCGATATCTTCTTCAGTCCCGCATGGAGCGACACCATTGCTGATGTCGGGTCATTAACTTGCCTAGTCCTGTGTTTATTAATTAGCTCCTCCATCTGCTTGATGTAATTATCATATTTATTTAACGCCCAAGCCGGTAATCGAGGTTTGCTTTGTGAGGGCTGCTCACCGGGGTAGCGGAGGTCGGTAATATTTTGCGGTTCCTCTCTTGTTGCGGGCTGCACTTCGGGGTGACGGGCGCGCGTAAAGTACTGGGGTGCGCACGAACTTATTTGTAGTTCTTCGGAGTTATGGGAAGAAGAAAAATCCCGCCCACCATTAAATCTTTTGGCGGGTCGCTGTTCAGGATAATGGGAGTGGTAGGAATCATGTGGCTCATTCAGACTTGCTGCGGGACGCTTTCGGGAGTAATTAAATTGATGTAAATCCTGCACACCATTTAATCTTTTGGCAGGTCCTTCCTCAGAGTAATGGTTGTGATATGAATCATGCGGCCCATTTATACTTCCTCTGGGTCGCTCTTCTGAGTAGTGAGGTCTGTAAAAATCTTGTGCCCCATTCACGCTTTCTGTTGGTTGCCACTCTGCGGAGCGAGGATAATAAAAATCTTGCGGTTCATTCGAATTTTCAGTGGGTCCTTCTTCAGAGTAATGATACTGATTGAAATTCTGCGCCCCATTAAAGTTTCTCGCCGGCCGTTCATTAAAGTAACGGGGGCGATGAAAATCTTGCGCCCCATTCCAGTTTGCCGCGAGTCGCTGCTCAGGGTAGCGGGAGGTGTAATAGTTTTCAGGCCCATTCGAGCTTCCCGCGGATGGCAACTCTGCGTAGCGAGCGTAAGGGACATTGTGATGTCTGCCTGCTCGGCCACGACTTAGGCCTGCTCGCCATTTCTTTGCGTGATGAAAGTTGCTGCTCGCTGGAGCAGGAGTATTGGGAGACCAGCCGCCTTCAGAGGTCGCTCCATCTGTAAGAAGAAAACGTTCATTAACAATACAATTCAGATTTAATTTGTTATTTAATGTAACTTGCGTTAAGAAAAATTATTTTATTTCGTAATTTTAATTGTTTTAGCTCACATGAGTCTCTAGACTAGTCAAAGCTGTCACTAGACAGTTATTAAATTTAAACGCAATTTAAATTAAATGCAATGTGAAATGCTGAACGACTGCAAATAGCGAACTGCTACCAAGCGACAGCCACGCGAACTGCTACCAAGCGCCTGCATCGTGAACTGCTACCAAGCGACTGCAACGTGAACTGCTACCAAGCGACTGCAACGCGAACTGCTACCAAGCGACTGCAACGCGAACTGCTACCAAGCTGTCTCTTATACACATCTAGATGTGTATAAGAGACAGGCTACCAAGCGACTGCAACGCTAACTGCTACCAAGCGACTGCATCACGCGAATAAAATATTTCTAGTTTGCCCAGCATCGCTCGGAATTTCTAAATGAAAAAGTTTTGAGCCAAAATATGTTTTGGGAAGTGTCAAGTGTCTCATTAATAGGACAGTATATATTGCAATACCCAAAACTTTAAACTTTCTTCACTGTACCTAAATTTTTACTTAATGTAGAGTTTCGAAGCACTTCTCTAAAATTTCAGTCTTGGACTTTAGTTGTTTGCTCGTGATAGAAAATTTTGAAAGCATTTAAAACTTAGCCATCCGAAGCAAATATTTTCGTCTGGAATTCGTTAATTATATTAGTATTTGCATCCATTAAATTCGGTTAATAACTCTCACAAGTGAAATTTTTAATTCCGGAAAAATTCCTCAGAGCTAGAGTTTCAAGCATCAAATTTAAAATGAAGGAAAAAAAAACACTCGACTTGAAGTGTGAACATTTATAACGTGGTTCTTTGTTCAGCTTGTCAACATGTTCATTCTATATTATGTTTGTTCTATTTATTCTATTAGACGTTGATGCAATTAGGTGTGTCTAAGATATGTATGACAATTAACATACGTGCATTGATACGATCCTATCGGCCGAATTGGGATGTCCTGGAGACATCGACAACACAATTAATGAAAGCAAATGAATTCTCTGGATGCATCGAAATGTTTGAGAAGTCCAACTAAAGATTCTATCATTCTAATAAATTATATGCCAATGTCGACAAAGAATAATGTAAGTACGCGCTTCGAGGAATCCACATAATGTTATGCATAAATAGCTACTGAAGGCAGACTATCAAAATTGGCCACTTGAACTCACCAATCGCTTGTGATGGTGATGAATAAATGTTTCTCTTCTCCGAGTAACACTTAAAAACATCCGAGTAAACACTAAATTTCTCCATCACTGGATATTTTTAGGAGCAGATTCTGCACAGTACTTCACAGGGCGTCGCAGCCGTCGGAATGACCATGGCTGTAAAAGGCATAGGCCTATATAGGCTGCGTCTCGCGGGCAAGACAAAGAAGACCGGCTACCCGCGAAATGCCGAAGAATGTGGCCAAGAAAAGGTCAATTATATTGTGTCATAAAGGACCACGCTATGACCAGTCAACGAATTCGTTTATTAGTACGCAATTTATAATGTCCACGAGAATCTTGTTCACAATATTAAAGGTCTAAAGGCAAATATGCTAGGTCTTTCCAGCCGTTAATTTGAATACGATGGGCCTTAGCTTCTTTCCAGATAAGATCTGTGGTCAATGTAACTAAATTCGGCGCACCCACAAATTTCAAAACTTGTTATCCAGCTCAAAATGAGTCAGAATCTATTTCTACAATATATCCTCTATGTTTTGATATTATCGTTTCGATTTTATGTCAATGACATCGCTTATCGAAATTTAAAAAATTCGTGGTTTCAATTACACGAATTAAAGGATTGTTTTTAAAGATAATTTTTTGTATTTAATGTTTAAAACTAGGTTTTGAACAGTTTACACGATAAAAAAGCACTTTTCCTGAATAGCAACGACATCACTAGCAAACGAATAGAGATACGGTATTGAAATGAAGTCATCAAATTGCTTAATGTAATCATCAAATTGCTTAATGTAATCAAAACGAACAAGTTCTAGTATAAGTGATGAATTAATAACTCACCCCTCGCTAGTGATGCCGATGGATAAACTATTCTCTTCTCAGAGTAACACTTGAACACATCCGAGTAAACACAAAATTTCGCCATCACTGGATATTATTAAGAACAAATTTTGCACAGTACTTCACTGGGCGTAGCAGCCGTCGGAATGATGATGGCTGTAAAAGGCATAGGCCTATATAGGCTGCGTCTCGCGGGCAAGACAAAGAAGACCGGCTACCCGCGAAATGCCAAAGAATGTGGTCAAGAAAAGGTCTACAAACGAACCCACATGGCATGAACTGCGTTATTATTAACCATTGTAGTTTCAAAATGGTTATATTATATTGCTGCTTTCTTTGACTAACCTGCCTGAAACTATATTCAAGTCTTGGCATATATTACGATTAAGTAGGATACAACATGTATA